TTTTATTAGTTCATCAACACACATAAAACCTTTATTTATTCAATAATTAAAAAAAAGTATTTCAAGTGACGTCGCATTGTGGTGGTATGGGTTTTTGATCTTCCCTGTCTTACGACATACTGTCGGGTGATATGAAAGTTATGCATGCATTTGATAATGAACGATATCAATATTTCTTTTTTGATGCTTGTCTTTCGCGGTCTCTGAGTAGTTTCCGTAATATCTTCCCACTTGGTGACTTTGGAACTTCCTTCACAATCTCAACACCACCTCTAAGTTGTTTGTATGAGGCAACACGTCCTGTGTGGGAAAATAAAAAAAACGACCATTGTAGATCTATGTAATACCTCTCTAAAAATATGTTTACGTGAACCTCATTATTCTACCTTAAATACATTAGAGATTTTGACAGGCTTGAATATCGCACAAAAACGAAAAACACTATACCGTCTATAAATCTAACAACGTCTTCTGCGGTAAGCGTGTCAGTTTTTGACACAATAATTGCTTTAGGGAGTTCACCAGCATACTCATCAGGTACACCGATCACAGCAGCGTCTTGTATTTCAGGATGGGTTAATAATATATCTTCTAATTCCGCTGGTGCAACCTATAAATACACTTACTCATCAAAATGTTAAGCATTACAGATAAATGTAAACAACAAATTGCAATATGGAGTATTTATTTTAAATGAATTGATATCAAACCTGGAACGCCTTGAATTTTATGAGTTCTTTAAATCTGTCTACTATGAAGAAATTTCCTTCAGCATCATAATGACCAATATCTCCTGTGATGATAGAGAAATGTGGGCTTCAACAAAATTATTGGGTTCTTATTTAATTAAACACTTATATCTAAGTCGAGACATGATATTATGTGTGGCAGTATAGATTAAAAGAAGCACAGTCAATTGACTGTGAATGATTTTATTATTCTATTGCTTTTATTTGTCATTGTATTAATACAATTTTAAAAAAATACGCCAAAATAGTAGTAAACTACAAAACAGCGTAGAATAGATTTGTGCTTGCAACGTGTCTCGGTAATCCTCTGATTTAGCAAGAAATAGTTCTTAAGTGATTCTTGAAAGAGTTTGAACACTACGATAAAGACTTCCGTTTTCGACAATGTGAAATTGTACCGTTTTTTTGAGGAGAAAAAAACTGAAAAAAAACTAATTTTGACAAAATAATTCAACAATTTATATTAAGAATATTTTAATGATAACGAAATGTATTCCTTGTGCACCCATAAATAATTTCCATAATTACAGTTTACACAAGAATATTACAGAAAAGATATGAGTTGCTATATTCTCTATCTTTTGCCTTTTATTTGTCTTTAAATATGTGTTCAACAACTCGATCATTTCGATAAATATGATTTTACTTGGTAAAAATACTGTATTTTCTGCATAAAAACAAAGGAATTTCACAGTGTCGAAAACGGAAAGTCTTTATCGCAGTATTTTTACTGCTATTTCCTTCACTAAAATTGTTTGGTTTGTACTTTTTAGTGATTTTAATTTTGTTCAAGGGAATAAAATTGAGCCCTATATGACAACATATGTACAATTCACTAACCTGTATGTATCCAGCCATCGATAATAGTTGACTTTGTTGCCGCTTCATTATTCAAGTAACCTTTCATTACTTGAGGACCACGAAAACACAGCTCACCGTCTCGACCAATTCCAAGGATCTTTCCCGTTGCAATATCAATCACCTAAAATACAGATGACAAATCTGAATCCGAGCTTTAATAAGAGTTGACTATATCACAGAAATTCCTGGTACTGATAATCCATTTGGAACAGATTATATTATCATATTGGTTTGATTTTGTTCATTTCATTGGCCGTACAAGGTATATCTATTTGTAAATTGATTTAGTGATTACATTCTAACGAAATAACATCAATGCAATTATATATTGTCATTAATGTAGCCATAATCCTCTTCTATTGGCTAGCTAGAGCTCTGTATCGAGTATAAGCCAATTGTACAGCTCTCGGCTAGACTGTGTCGTTAAAGAGCAGTGGTCGATACGCCACGTATGCGCGAGATATAGGTCTCATGTGAACAGAGATGACGACTTTGATAGTTGCGCAAAACAACCGCAGACCGATTTCCATTAGAAGAGCGCATTGGATTGTAGGAAAATAAATGTTTATCAACACAAATTGTGCTTGGTGCGACAACCACCCATTAATTTTCCACAACCTTACAACAACGTTCGACTATTTGATATGCAATTAGCTATTTTACGTTGAAATGATATCCACATAAAACATATGTATCCAATGAACAATATATTACCTTTTAACCTCACCATGTTTATGATATTATTTCTTAAAGTTAATATCCGTTTTGTTTGTTCATATGTTACAGGCAGTGCCTGGCGAGCGAGCACTGTCGAGCATGTTTAGTTACTTGCTAAAAATTAAACTGACGAGGCCATCGAACGTCTAGGTGGAAATCGAGTTATTAGTTCACGAGTGAGTTGAATGTCATTCAAAATGACGACACGCGCGATTTGTGTTTCGCCGCTGATAAAAAATGACACTATTCAAACAATATTCAAAATTGAAATTGTAAGTGTGCTGTTTTGGCTTTACATAATTTGTGAAACAACAAACAAAAAGGCGCCGTTCATTGACCTGAAGTGAACCATTTTCAAACTCTTGCCATCGGTCTCTTTTGATTTGTTACTGGCTAATAGTTTAACAATAGTACATTAATGTAGCAAATAAACATTCACTGTGTTTTAATTTGTCACATTGTTTGTATGTAGGCGATCTAGGTGATTGTTACCAAGACACAATAAAAACATACTGATGGCTGGTTACTTATCAAACGTATCCTTTTGATTGTATTAAAGGTATTGAAACCTTTATCAAAAGCTTGAATTATCACGTGAAGCAACAGAAATGTTTCGAACGAAGCATTAACTGCCATCTTAAGTACGTTTATAACTAATTCTCTACCGCCTGTATACAACAAATATATTTACGTTTATTACCTTAGCTAGGCAGCCTGCCACTACTCCACCAACTGAGCCAGCAACACACTTATCGTTCATGCCACAAAGTGTTGATATTCCAGCGGTCTCTGTCATACCATATCCTACGTAAATATTTAACGAATGTTACTATACACAATATTCACGAATGACGGTATTAAGCACTAAATGTTAATGAGGTTGTTAATAATGCAACTGTATTTCCAAACTCTTCGATATGCATTAGACGATCATGTTAATGTGTCAGGTAGTATACAACGCCCGTAAAATACATTGATTTTTGAATGAATTCGAATGCCATGCAGCGAAAGTGGCGCTTCAAGGGGCAGTGGTCGTCGTGCTGCGCATGTGCGACGTGCACTAATTACCGCCGCTGACTCCAGTCACCAAAGAAATTACCCATAACGTCTCTGTTTGTACTCGTTGGTCTGCGCAACAGTCAAAGTTGAGATCTGTATTCATACGAGTCCCATATCCCGCGCATACGTGGCGCGACGACCACCACCCTTCAAAAGCAACATAGAGAATCATTCAAAACCAAGCTACGCTAATCTGTGTGGCGGTCCTACCTTGTCTCACTTTAAGATGATCGTTATTTAATCTTTTCTGCAATGATTTCACGTGTCCAGCTCCTAGTGGAGCGGCTCCACATATGATGTTGTCTACACTTGAAAGATTATATTCATCAACCATTGGGTGCTTGATCAAAAACACGGCAATAGGCGGGGCAATGACCAAACAAGTAACCTGGAAAAATAAAAAAATAAACATAACGATTTGATCAATTACACGGTTCACGTTTAGTGGTAGCTCACGTAATATATGTTAGTTCTCAACACTTAGTTCAGTACAAGGTCTGCAATATGGAATTTATCGCGTAATTTGACCTTGAAGTTTGTTTCGTGCTGTGGTCTATCCTGTGTTCAATTTTTCACGAGCAAAGCTTTTTATCAATATTTTCGATGCTTGTCGAAGCTAAAAATATCTATGTGTTGATCTATGTGTGCTCAAACTCGGACGAAATAAACATGGACCTAGTGTTGGTATTGCTTTTCTTGTGCTGCATGCCATGAAAGAACATATAATTATTATTGAACACGTGACTATTTTTCATAGTTATTTCTTTACTCACACACTTGTTTGTACAACTTAATCTTATGAATCAAATATACACAACCATAGCATTCAACAATGGTACATCGATTGCCAAATTAGCATAATAGCTCTTCAGGGTATTATTTCATTTGCATATTAATGATAGTCAACACAAACATACCATTCAATAGCCAATAGTTGGAGTAGTCAACATGTAATAATATAAGGTTATTACTAAAATACTTCAAAATATGCACGAAGACAGTATAGCGGGGGTATCGACCGACGCATAATAACCTTATTATTATACATTTTTTCCTTCCAAGGATATACCATGGGAATGCCGAAATACAAAAAGTTTAGAAAAGAATCAGCGAACTTCTTTGTGTGGAGTCCGGTCAAACTCTGATTACGCGCGTAGTCATTCCATATTTGGAATTCGCATTTCCTTATATGGTAGGATGAAAATACCCCGTAAATTACGGCACGCTGTAACTTATGGCGTATGGTGACAGATGTATAATAATATGTAATATAATAATGTCAATATAGTTGTACCTTGTGTTTTTCAGCCAGACCTAGGTATACTTTAGGCTCAAACTTAGACAGCGTCACAATTGTAATCCCTAGTTTCATGCTGATGAGTAAAACTCCAAGTATGCCAGATAAATGAAACAACGGAAGTACCCAGATAATGGCATCACTATCGGACACCTTAATTAGCTCATTAGACACCCTATACATGAATTATTAATAACAAAATAAACTAATGAAAATATAATGAATGTTACAGTGTGGAACATTATGTTAACATTCAATATAATTACATACAGCGTTGTTCACAAAGTATATAACAATATTCGCATGTAATAGGTAGGCATATTCAATAGCAGATACGGTCATGAGCAGTCGATTTCATAAACATTTGTACGCAAATTTTGCCAAACGAAGCATATGTGTTACATCATTACTTTGACCTAGGCCATGATTTTAGTTTATAGAAATGCAATGAGTTTCAGAATACATATTTAAACAATAGTCTACGAGTATATTCAAAATGTGCCAACATTTGAAACGATTCGATAATTGCACATACCCCATCTCACAACTAGCAATGAGGTTGTGGTGAGTCAGCATAACTCCCTTTGGTAGTCCAGTAGTGCCACTAGAATATGGTAATACAGCCACGTCTTCTACTGGGTTAATTTTGATATCCTTAGGAAATGCAGATCCATCATCTGTCATTAAGTCTACAAATGGCAAACAACCCTCAACACTGTCATCGCCAACTATATAGATATGCTGAAAATAAGCGATACATGAACATGAATTATGTGAAGAATACAAGCAATAGCATCACGCTGTGATCAAAGTTATTGGTTATCTCGTATTATATAATATATAGGCGATTAGTACAGGATATTCAGTTTGATGAAGCAGATGAACTTATTCGTAATTTCCCCATGATAAAGTCCCAGACACAAACAAACAAATACATACATACATACATACATTGCATCTCGTCTGGTTCAACAGACTTTC